GATAATTAGGTCGTTACGATGATCTTTAGGTCCGGTTATAGTATGATACACTCTAAAACGAATAATTAAATTCGTCATTTAATAGCACGTATGGAGTTATTTACAAGTGACTCGCGCAAAAAGTTTTCTCGCGCGTCGCGTTTCCTTTTTCCCGTTCGTGCCTATTCTGTCGTTACACTGCTGGACGCGAATTAATTAATCGAGATCGGGGTTGCATGGATTGCAAAACGTTACTCTGCTACATTTATATCTTATTTTGCTGTTGCATCTTCTCGTAATGCAGACGTGTAATATTCGCTGATAGTCCATTCGCGTTCAAATCCGACATTTAGTACGATAAGATCAATTGCATGTTCTCAAAATAGAGTTTTATGTTTTTTCAAACTGGCAATCTTGAAACTTAAACTTACCAGAATGGATAGTCAATAGATTAATACATTTAAGTAATTATAATTAAATAAATTAAGCTAATTAAATGTTTATATGTTTTGATGCTTATATAGATACTAGACGTTTAAAATTAAGACTGCAAGATAAAAATAGAGAAACTAGAAAAATAAATAAATGTTCAACCTTTAAATTTAAACGCATGGTTATTTTTTATAAAATAGAAAATAGTTTATTATACTACCAAATATTTTTAAATCTACAATTTTCTTGCAAAACTTGAACGGTCACGGACAACGCTCGTGTCAGCCATCGTCGGTAATCTATGTAAAACTTGACCCCGATTGTTCGTCCATTGAATGGAATGTAGAATTCTTTGTATATAAGTGATTTTTTTGTTATACGTATAATATATGTATATTTATATATAATATATTTATTCTCTTGCGCATTTGTAAAAAGCCTCCCCTACCTAAAAACAACAATGTCGTGTCACGTGAGTTCGTCTACTATATTGGCGATAAATCAACAAGTCCTTTAAAATACAATATTTCCTCTATTCTGGAAAATTCACGGTCATTTAAATCTCTCTACCGAACACTCAAACATAACACCGATTTATCTTTTCTTTCGTTTTTTTTCCTTTCTCTCTTTCGTGTCGTCGTCGTCGCTTCTCGCCGCCCGCGTCCGCCTGTCGCTTTAGTCAGTCTTGGCATCGTAAAACGCTTAGGTGCTTTAAGTACAACTTATAAGTACAGATTTTATAACGAGGTCTGCTTTGAGCGACCTCCACTCTTCCTCTTCTCCTTCGATAAATTTGCGCCGCTCGCGCCACATATACGTATACAGATAGATTCATACATACACATATGTATTCAATATGTATATTAATTTCATCACCTTAAAAATATATTATTGTCTTTCGATGAAAACGTAGCACTTAATTTGCCGTTCGCTTTGCCTCTCCTCCTCCTCCTCCTCCTCTTCCTCCTTCTCCTCCTCTTCCTTCCGTGTCCTTCGTCCGCCCACGCGATGGTGATCTCAATTATCGGGGATCTCCGAACGATATAAATAATCGCGAGGCGACCGATTCACGCTCTCCTCTACATTTGAACCTCGATATTGTGGTCGGCTTATGATTAATGAATGATCAAATGCTGCTACTACAATTTGAGTACTTCTTTCCTTATCCCTTATTACTTATTTATTGGATGGCCCTAGAAAGCAGTACTCGCGAAGTTTCTACAATACGCCGGTAAACTTTTAGAAGTGTTCGCACTTTTCACGTGCGATAATGAGTCACGGTCCCGATTTTAGGCAATGTCTTCTTAACCGTGCATTCTGAAAGGGAAGTGTTTTGGTTCTCATTCTGCCTCGACCTCCACTCAGATATTTAAGCTTTGAACGAATAATGCCATTGCTGCTTATAATCCTGGATTTATTATTATCTCCATCTCAGGGATATAATGCTGTTTAGACTTAATAGTTTTATTTCTTATTGATTGAGTCTCCCAAAATCTATCTTGCATCCTTGAGAATGGGACTTCTAGACTATGCTAATCTCGTTAAGACAGTTATCTTACAAAAAATGTACAAAAATGAACATCAGAGCTTTTCTCTCCAAGCGGGACAGATCTCTGACATTTCCTTGACATTTCTTATCGTAAGAATTTCTGTCTCTTCGAGAAAATAGTTTACTGTTAGATGAGGCTTTGCTTTTTCTCTAGATACGCACTGTAGTCAGTGCGATTCGCGCGGGCGAGGTAACCATAACTTCGCGGAACTTTGGCAGGATTGGACACGGTTCTTGCACACTTGGTCTCGACGGCGATTTTTGCACTTCGCGTTCAATTTATGTTAATTCGCTAGAAACACCAGAGACGCCTGCTGAGTCTCTAATTGGGCTGGGATTGACGATCGTCAGGATACGTTATCGTATTCGTCGTTATCGATATTTAGGCGATCGTCGATCTTGGTCCGACGCGTGCGACCGATTCACGCGTGAAGGCTCGCGTTCTTGTCGCGCAATCAACTCGTCGTCGACAACGACAGGATTGACGTCGGATCGACGAGGTTCTCTGATATCGACGTCGCGTTGACAATCGTCGGACTCGGGGTTCGTTATCATACGTCGTTGTCGTGGCAGAAGTCGATCTTCCGTCTGGCGAGCTGCAGCCGTCGTTTGTCGACGATGAAGTCCGTCACGCAGCCCTTGATACCGCGATGACCAGGCTTGCCGCCGACGAAAATCTTGCCGTTGGTCGTCAGCAATGTCGTTTCTGTCGAGATCTTGATCGGCATGTGTTCGTCGATCTGAATCGTACATGCTTTTCGTCGTCGAGACGCTCGGATGTGATGGAAGACTCCATCGTCCACTCTCTCCTGCAATCGTGCCGATAATAACAAGATTGCGGGATTTAGAGAGTATATTAATTAAAGAAACTTTTTGGGAATTCTATTGTATCAAGTTTTTTCATCACATGTAATATTAAAAAGTGTATTTTCTATCTATACGATTGTAGTACAAACCAACAGATTTAAATCAGACAGATATTTTATGAGAAATGATTTGGTTTTATTATTTTATATTTATATCAATATATTTAACAAATATAATTCTACGCAGGGAAGTGGACAATTTAAAAAAAATATAAAGTAATTATCAGTGGGAGTACAAATAAAAATAGAAAACGATTTAACAAAATTAAAATAACCGTCAAAGGAGAGTGTTAAATAAATGATGCTTGTTAAATCTATGTAATAGCGCTTACCTTGCTTTTAACGGATACCTCCTCATCCATTTTGCTCTTATAAGTGAGCACCACGTGACCGCCACGTAAAGATAAAAAGAGGTGCTCCATCTTGCCTCTTCCCACCCATGCGATAAGACCTTCAGAATGTATCGTCCTTAGCCGCAGCTCGAATTTGTTCGACTGCTGTCCCCTGCGTCTGAACGAGTATGTTTTTAGTAATAGACGTCATTAAAAAAAAAGTTCAAGTTCTAAACACATGCCAATAATTCACACTACATATCCATATATGTTTTTACGCTAAAATACGCACAGAAGGGAGATTAAAATCAATAAAAATAAAAAGAGATAAAAATTATAAAAACAAATTCTTTTAATTTTTTTAGCATTTTGTTTTGAATTTTTTACATTAAAGCAACAAAGGAATAATATTGTATTATCATTAAAATAATATTTTTAATTGTTAATTCTATAAAAAATTGTATTGTAAAAAAATATCGTAAGAAGCTATTTATAAGCTAATTGTATCCTAATTGTATCATAATTATATTATGATACATTTTATTCTACATCCAATTACATTCTCTATTACGCAATCGGATAATTGGCTCTAGGGTGATTGTCAGGGATGTAATCATCGGAAATTGTTATACGATACTACAATGCGCGAGCAGGAAAATCAACCTATCCCTCAAACGAGTACATCACAGCTATTTTCCATTTCCTTTAGAAAACTTACTCCGTGTAATCATAACTGTCGTATTCGTAGTCGACGTCCTCCTCTAAGTCGTAGTCGGAGTCGGACTCTTCAAAGTACTCGCCGAGGGTAGTGTTAGTCGAGTTAGTACTAGTTGGTGATTACATAATCAGAAGGTTAGTGACAATAATCATTAGTCGGGAACGCTAATTAGTCTAGTTATCGAGCGACCGACATTACTAATTTCAAGTGCACCTAATCCTAGAGGATGTGCCGCTGCGATCTAAAGTTTCGGTCATCAATTCTTCGGAGTTCTCAGTGTTACTCACCTTCTTCCGTAACGATGCTTAAATTGCAGGAAGTTATCGCCCTCGAAACGTACAGGTCGCTCTGATATCTCGGTACCGGATACGTCGTAACCCGTAACTAAAAAATATATTTGTAAGACCGTTCAAAGATTTCGAAGATTGTAGAAAGCACGATAAATATTTAAATACATAAGATTATTAAAAAATTTATAGCTGTAAATTTTATTGTTATATTTTTATAATCATTATATCATAAGTAAATTTATGCGACTTTATAGATAAAAGAGAGTAAGAAAATATACATATAAAAAAATATAAGCTAAATGTATTAAAAAATAATGAAATTGCAAGGAGGAAACTTACAGAATTCGCAATGTAAGCCGTTGTAACCACTGGCGCATTTGCAGAGATAACTGTTCAGAAGTGGAAGGCAGACTCCGCCATTATGGCAAGGATTCTCGTTACTGGGACACGGTAGACCATCGTAAATTTCCGTGTTGTGTTGAGTAACGTTCACGGCGAGATTTTGATACGTCTTGCCATTTACCATTAGCCTTTGCACAGCGCCTACTAATCCGGTCCAGGCTCCAGAGAGGCGATGAACTTCTCGCCAATGTCTAGAAAAGCAAGCATGATCATCGCTGTTCAGGCAATAAATCGGAAATATAAATATATTTTTTTACATAATCAAATCGGCATTATGATATATATATATATATATATATATATACATACACGATAAATATTATAATAAAGGCAACAATATGATTGCAAAAATATAGAAAATTAGATGTGTGAAAATAGATAATATAATTCAAAAGACAACACGATAAAAATAACTTACTTGACGCCACCGACGTAAAGTGGCATTTCCAGATTCAATTCCGTAAGAGGACTCCCGGATAATCCTCTGGCGACGGTTCCATCGTCGAGCTGAAGAACACCCTCTCTGCCGAGTCTGTTGATCCTCACACAGTGCCACATGTCTTTACTGACGGGATCCGGCGACGTGATGTTCGCGATACCGCTACCGAGATTGAACCTAAACTCTAGCCTGCCGTGAACGAGGTTCAGACTAATGAAGTCACCCCTGCCGTTATTCAGCTGCCCGTTATAGAGCAGAAGACCGTCATTTGCGCGCGTGAGGAACCATAATTCGATGGAGAACGCTTTCGCGACGCCTTCCAGGCAGGGTAGCTCCAGATATCCATTCCCATTCATCTCGGGGATCAATAATTCTGTCAGTTCAGCATCCACTGAAGAAATAATAATGATGTAAAATATTATTTAGAAAATTATAATAAAAACATATCAACATTTTTCTTTACTAAAAATTATTATTGGATAATTAATATTATTTGTGTGTTAATAGAAAGGAAAAAAAATAAGATTACTTAGTAAAAAACTGTTGATCTAATTTTCCAAGAATTTTTTGAATAGTTTATACTTACGGATTTCACAGTGTCCGCCAGTTCTACCGGGTGGACACTTGCACACGTATCCTCCCTGTGGAAGAATGTCACAAGTGGCACCGTGCTGGCAAGGCTCGCCGATGCACGGGTCCAGCGATTCCTCGCAATTCCTACCGGTGAATTGTGGTGGACATATGCATCTGTACTCCGGTGGTTCGTATTTCTCCACCGCATAATTGCCATGATCATAATTGTTCTCGTATTCAAGTTCGTAATCGTAATCGCACTTGTTGGTAACGCAGCGCCTTTTCGTGTTCTTCTTGATCCTTTTCTGATCGATCGACGTGCAATGCGAACCTCTGCATCTAACTATATTTACCCCGGTACTTTTGTTGCCTCTGTTATTTCTGTTTTTACCCCTTTTCTGCATTCTTCTGCAATCCCGGCCGTTGCACAGGTCCTCCTCGAAGATCGGTTGGCAGGTTGCGCCATTCTGACAGGGCAAATTGGCGCATGCGTTATCACCGCATTCCTTCACACGATAACTCTCGAGAACGTCTTTGTCCCAGCCCATGTGGAGATCTACATTGATCCGATTGATCTTCAACTTGCGTATACAGCCCAGAAGACCATGATTGGTGCCGATGTTATCGTAGACCCTATTTAAGAATTTATAATCTTATTCAACCGTTCAATTTTTAACATTTCAATCTGCAGCTGGAAGAACGCGACTTAATTAAAATTTTTTCAACTAAGATGATAAAAATGAGCAATTTTCAAGAAGTTCTTTTAAAAGAACGGAAACTTTCTTCTCTCGCTAAAACATTTTGTGTTTAAGTTTAATTTATATTTCAGAATTTTATAATTAACGTAGAGCTAACAATATTCAAGATATAATGATATGAGAAATGCGATGCAAAAGAATTTTTTTGCGGATATTACTTAGTGTAATTGGTCGGCATATTTCCGATGAAGGTGTCTTGATTCAAGTCCAAAGACTTCAGCATTCCCTGACTTTGTCCAGCCACGTCTTCACCGTCATTAAAAATCAGTACACCGTCCTTATGGTACCTCTTAGCCGCTACTCTGTGGAAGGTCTTCATGGTCACCTTTTCCGGTGACGTGAGCACCACGGGTCCATTTCCCAAGTTATATCTAAACTGTACATATCTGAAGAGGACAGTCACAAATTCATAAGATATACAAGTCAGATACATCAGTATTGTTAAATTAATCAACGGTATAGTTCTTGTATCTTTCTTTTACTTTTGTATTCTTTGGCAAATGATTACGTAAAATCAATTCTGTACAAATGGCTAACTTGATCATCTTGGTATTTTGTATTTCAAATACGCTACAGTAATTCTATAAAAATGTCTGTATTAAATTACACAAGACAAACAAAATTGGATCTCTACATGTGATTGCCTGTTGCCTTCAAAAGAAACATTTTTGGAATTAATGATTTATCGTGATGAAGAGTACCAACCCATCGACAATGGCCAGCGAGACAAAGTCGCCGGTGCCATCGTTTTTCTGCTGATTGTACAGTATAATTCCGTTGTCTGCGTACGTTTTGAACTCAACCTCGATGCTGAATTTGTGATACGCTTTCAGCCGATTCATCCTGACGTAGCTTTTGCCGTCAAAGGAAGGTATCTCGTAATCCCGCTTGTTGATCTCCTCGTCGCACAGCAGCCCGGTGTAATTTGGTCGACAGATACAGACGAAAGTTGAGCTGGGTAAGTCGATGCAGGTCGAGGTCATATGGCAAGGATAAGAGAGACACGCGCGAAATTCCTCGGTCGGCGTCACCGGCACATAATTGGCTAACGAATGATAAAGCAAAAGTTAATCTTCGTCCAACTGTGACGTGGCGATGTTGATAATTCAGCGAATAAAGATCGAGGAACGATCGAATATCGGGAAGTTCGAACAAGTTAACATTTTCAGGACTACAAACTTTCCTATTTAAGCTATTCTCCTAATATTAATTCTATTTATTATTATTAATAAACATTTGTTTAATTAATTTTGAATTATTGAATCAAAAATCAATTTTAGAAATTTTGCTTTCAATAAAAGTTCATAAGAAATTGCTGATTTGTTCAATAGAATATTCTGTGAGAAAAATTCAAAAGTGTTGTGAATAAGGTGCTGTTAAATCGAGACTTACCGAAACATTCTTGTCGATCGCTGGTTTCCGCGTAGCCCTCGGAACAGATACAGCCGCCGTTTGAACATTCGCTGTTCGGAATAGTGCAATCCTTGTCATCGGTGCAAAGATCACCTAGAAGAGCGGTGACCACTCGAATCGTCGCCGGCGTCGGTCGATACGCCGCGGCCACTCCTGTGAGAGTTAAATTTTCGCTTACTGTTACTATTTAAAAAACGATTAAACAGATAAGAAAGAACAAATTTTAGAACTGTCAAGGATTTTCTAGTTGCAATTAAATTATTTTCTGGAGCTATCTCGAAAAGGTAAATATAATTTTAATACGATTTTATCAAGAAATACAGTTGATATATTTATCAGTTCATTGAACTAATGCTAGTTCATTGGACTAATTCATTGGGCTCCGCGAATAGATACGCAATGGATTTTGAATTATTTAATGTGGATGTAGAATTAAATAAATTTCTGCAATTTTCGCGTTGCCAAGTATTATCGCGCCCCGCATTTCAAGCGTTGCAAGCAATTTTGAAGCTTTAAGCGTTTTGATCGTGTTAATCCACAATTAACAATAAATCAATAATATGGTTAATGAAGTAATACGCGACATTACAAATTTATCTAATTAATTATTAATCGCTTTAATGCGATGATTTAGTGATCATTTCCGTATTCCGAAATGTTTTAGAACCCTCAATAAAAGTTGGAGTCTCCAAAAAAGTTTAATAAGATTTTTTGAAAAACAAGTTAAAATATTTTGCTTCCTTTTATTTTTCTGAAAGAAGATATATGAGAAGAGGAATGATCCGTGAATAATTTTTAGGGGAATATTTTTCTTTACCATGTTTTAAGTTATCTCTGTCGATGGTGATGGTTTCTTGATGAGCTCGGTGGGTGTAATAATATCGTGGGTCCGGCTCCGGTACCAAGAGATGCCGTGTGGATTTGGACAATGGAGAAATGGCGGCCGCTGGTTGAGTGTACTGTACAGCTGTGTATCTCTTAACGGGGAAGTCCGTGTTAACCATAGGATCGTCTGAAAATGTTTGCGAATTTCGTTTCTGCCATTATTTTCCCTCTTCGCGTTCTCCATCGAGAAATTTCGTTTATATCAGAGCTTGTAATCGGAGTTTTCTCTTCATCAAGCAATCTCTTTATTAATAATAGCAAGAGAATTAATAAAGAACAACAAATTACAAATAAATAAATTATATTCAAATATATATTTTTATCTTTATTTTACTTATATTACTGTTTTAAGAGAAAAATTAAACTGAGAAATTTTAAAGATTATAAATACAAAATATAATTAAAAGCATTAATCTGAAAATCAATCGTAAGCTCTGATTTTAATTACATTGAATCAATTACGTTTTTGCAAGAGTTAATTTTGATCATGTAATATGCGATAATATTATTCACCAAATAGGATTTGCGTTTTATCATTGCTTATGTAATGTTTATGCGTGTGTAATGAAATTTTATTACATATAAAAAAAAGACAACTAATTCTTCTCATTAAAAGTTATAACGATGTTGTCATGTATGAGTATATATGATTATAAAACTATAACGGAGAAAAAATGTTCCCTCTGCTTGGATCTCTGTTAATTAATTTTGAAATAAAGTTTTCTTATCTATTTTTCACAGAGAAAAATTTGCAGAAATAATTGATATTGATTTTCATTTCATTTTTAAAGGTAAACAAAAATACGTGATATTCCGGCACACGTTTTGCGTATTACGGAAAGAGTTTACGTGATAATTAAAGACAAAGTAAATAGAAAATGAATGGAAATTAAGTTCAGTTTAAATTTAATTATTAAAATTTGTTTAAGTGTGAGTGATTCTCATAGATCAATCCATCCATGCTTCGAAAAATCTCAACGGAAAGAATAAAGTCTCTGGAGTCGTTCGCTGAGTTTCTTATAACGATTTAAGTTGCAATCCTAAAAGCTACATCCGCGGAAACTTTAAGGAAAACTTGAGAACCGTTTCAGAAACTGCCTCCTAATCTCGTAGGGCGTGCACCCTCAGTACTCCGTAACCCTGTTTCTCCTCTCTTTCAGTGAATGATTTGCCTTAAAAATGCAATGAGTACGAATAAACGCAATCTCTGTATTTCCTTCAATCTGGTAGATCTTCACTTTTCTTTTCTTCTCATGGGAAATGAAGGGAACGTTACGAGAAACTTCGTGGAAATCGAGTTAGTTCTCTCGACGAGAAGTTGATGAAAGGGAGTGTCCTATTTCAATTAACACTAAGGTCTCCTAGTGTAGGATATTGTATTGTTTATTATCTTTGTGAACACAAGCGTTTTTACTTTGCGTTTTCGATCGATCTTGTCTCCGGATTAGATTCTGACGCTTCAGATTAGAACTAAATTATGCAACTACGAGAGTTCCGATTACGCGTCAATGTCTACAGAGCACATTTACGAAATTTCACAGAACGTTTTATAAACTTATCTCATTTTATTTTCATTATCTCATTTCTGTTTGCGTGGAAAGGATTTGCGCCATTCCGATACTCGAACGCCCTCAAAGATGGGCGCGCGACGACGACAACGGTGGCGTTTCTCTAAATAATGAAAATCGAAAAGCTAATTCTGTCGGCACGGGGTAACGCGAAACTGTTAACAGGAGTCGCAGCGGCCTTAATGGGATTTTAATTACTTTCCAATTGCCGCGTTGCTTCCTATTATTGCCTGTCGAGGACTTCCGTTTATTTTTTCTCAACAATCGCTCGCCATCCACCCCCCCCTCTCTCTCTCTCTCTCTCTTTCTCACTCTCTCTTCGGATGAATCTCTTTTCCGAGCCCACTCTCTCGCGCGTCCAACAATCCGCTTATTTGTTTTCGTATAATCGATTCGTTTATTTACTTCCGTTGCGAGAACGAGCTTTTCTCGTTCTCGCGCGCTGTCGTCGCTGCAAACATCCCCGTCTCTTCTTTTCCTGTGGAATCGCTTCGGTTCATTCAAAGAACAAAGATTTCAACCGATTATGAGAGCAGTAGAATATAACACGGAAATGATCGGACATTTTAAAATTAGCATATTTCTTCCGTTTTCTACTGATCAAAATTAGAACATATTCGGACAGTTGGTGAGATGTGTCTATTAAAATTGTATATGCTAATATTGCCAGCTGAGAGAGTAATTAAAAACTCGACTGTTTATTAAAAGATTTTTTAATTAACGGGATTTTTGGTTTTCATTTTGCATACAATACGTAACAGCGAATTAATGTTTTTTAATAATAACTGGCAATTCTTTTCTGAAAATAATTTAATTTTATTCCGCAAAATAAATGTAATGTTTTGCCTTTCTAATTAATTGAGATAAAATTTTAAAAGTTACTTTCAATATTACAATTTATATGTTGAATTGTGTAACTGAACATGAATTAACTTGAGTTTCTGTGCTATAGTAAATTATACGGATTATATTAATTTTTTCATTATTACATTGATTTTCTTGATAATAATTTAATCCAGAGTTTCCCTGACGAATATTTTATATAAAATATAAACGTGGATCGCATTCATGATCTGTCCATCTTCATTCTTTTCATTATTCTAGTACGCGACTTCGATATTCTCGCTTTTCGATAATAATTCGATCATCGTAATTCACGTTTGCATCAAACGTATCGCACACTTGCAGGACATCCGGCGACTACATCGTCGCCGATCTACTAGGATTCTCTAGAGGGATATTCCACGGCACAGCGGGTCTTCTTTCGCGCAGGAAGTGAGTCGGCCGCCACGAGAAATTACGGCATGCATTATTTACCAGGATCCAAAGTACCGGCGTCCATATCGTCCTGTCGTTTAGCCCCCCCTGCCCTCCCTCCTCTTGCCATCGTCCTCACTTCGATCTCGATTGACGGAGGCGAACCAAGAAGAGTACATCGAACGGCAAGGAATCTTCTTGACCACCCGACGAGGTCGGCACACATTCGATGAAAATTATTGCTACAACGAAGCTGAGGGGAGGAACAGCGAAGAAACAGTGGGTAAGAGAAGAAGACGGTAGAGAGGAGAGGAAGATAGAGAGAGTCTTTCGTGAGGACGGCATAATCTGATTTATGTTTGACTCCGAGGACGAGCCCCGAAGAACTTTTTAAGAGATTGACTTTCAGCGAGAAAGCCCAGGCCGGCTGAAAGTGAGGAGGGAGGGCGATGGGGGAGGGAGGATGGGAGAGAGGCTGAGCAATCGAAAATAAGGGGTTCGCGGGGCGAGCGAGAGACTTTAATAGATTCCGACGTTTCGCTTTGCGAACTTCGTCAGGGGTTCGGAATATCTTGAGAAGTGCGAGGAAAGAGGAAAAGCGGGGAGGAGAGGAGGGGAGGAGGAGAAGGAGAATCTCTCTTTCTTCCGTACTTTTTGCATGGTTTATCGCAATGCGCGAGCTAGATTCGCCGGTCTGATTGAGTCGGGCTCCGAATTTAATGCCGGAATAATCAACGGTCCGCGAAATTAGATCGCGATCGCGGCCGTCCTTCTCTCCGGGATTGTTTGTAATTAGTTGAGGAACTCTCGCTAATGATGCGTGCGCTCGTTACATCTATCGCCGGGTTCGCAGGAAGAGAGCGAACAATCGATTACGCGGCACCGGAGTAATCATGTGGAAAAGCTTCGAGTTTTGGAACAACATAATTCTTCGGAAATAGAGTGGCTCAAATAAAATAGAATAAGAGTTCTCCACCGTAAAAAGTAAATTTCGCGTCTGCTTCTGCGAGATGCAGAGTAGGCTACCGTCTGCAATAAATCTTAATCTGCGAATCAACGGGAGACACTCAGTCGCCGTCGTTTCTTCTAATAACCACAGAGGAGTCTCTCTCAGTGGTGACGATATCTCTCCTCCACTGAAACTTTCTAATTCCCTCCCAGGAAGAAAATAATGCCGGCCGAGAAATATCGAGTAAAACTCTCACGACTGACAATTTCAAATGAAACTTTGTCGCCCGTACCTTTTCGCAGGGGTGGAGTGGAGAGGGAGTGGTAAGGGAGTTATGCGAGTCACGCGAGTTTAATGCTCGCGGCTGGACCGTCGGACCGTTGCCAGTTACCGTTTTCTAGATGTCGGATTCTTCTCTTCTGAAGACACGTCCCACGGGCGCCACTTAAGACGAGATCACACTGGAAGTCCGCGATGATTTAGTTAAAACCACCTTCGGCGCTCGCTCAGTTTCGCGAGTTAACATTCGCCAACTTTCTTTACGTGCGAACGCGACGGTTGGTACACCTCCGGGAATGCTTTAACATGACTCCGACCGAGCGAACTTAACTGCACACTTACATTCTTCCAATGGCTCTATATCACTCTCAAGCAATCACCATCAATCATCGAGCAGATCGGAAGCTACTACAGCGACGAAAAACGCGAATCAAATATATATATATATATATATATATATATATATATATTTAATAATATATATATATATATTTT